CAAATGCACGGCTACCAGTCAGACGAGCCTGTTCACGGGAGAAATGTATAGCAGAAGACTATTTACTCTATTGAAGATATTAATATCATAATTCAGATAAAAATATGAAACCTGTCAAAAAAAAAAAAAGCTGTGCTTACACCCCTCAGGTTTGAAACTTACTGTGCTGGGAAAGATACTTCTTAAAATAATTTTAACAGTGCCTAAGGCCGCTCAGAGAGTCACACAGGAGGGGGAACAGAAGAAAGTACAATATATTGCCTGAAAGCATCTAGAAGAGTCTGTGGGGTTTCACTGACCTTCCCCTCTACACTCTACAAGTGAGGACCCCAAAGTCAACTCCCAAACACAGACATGCTACAGATGAGCATTTCCCTCTCCTTACAATTCCCATTCTTTTCCCTCTGGACTTGAGCCTCTAAAGTTTCTGGTTATACAATTTCAGTGGTGTTTAGAGACAAAAACAACTAAGTGGTTATATTAGCTTCCCCAAGCTGCTACAGCAGCCGCACTTGTACATAAAAAAAAAAAAACGGATACAGAACTGAAAATCCCCTGGGACAGAGAAAAGGCAGATGTTTGGGCAGGAGACTCCTTCAACTTCTCTCTCTCACCTATGCTTCCTGCAGTACGTGGGCCAAAGACGGCCGAAGAAGCACAGTCCGGCAACATCGACAGCAGCGCAGAATGGTACTGTGCAGATGCTAGCTTTAGGAATCACGTGTGTGTTTATGCATGTGTGTTGGGTGAGGGAGGTAGAGACCGGAAAACTGGAAAGCGGCCCATGAGGGGATGGAGGCAGGGGGTTCGGAATCAGGGTGGGGAGAGCAATAGAACCCACGTGGTATGAAAGTGAAGTGAGGATTCTGCGGAGGGGAGGGTTTATAAGCAGCGAAGTTTACAGGGGCAGAGGAAGAGGGAGACCAAAAGAGGAGGGCACCATGAAGAGAATCAGCCAAAACTAAATGTGTGTGAAAACGCCATTATGAAATCTGTTATATTGCATACTAATTCAACAAATGTATTTTAAGGAGAAAATTTTTAAATTAAAAATGCACACACCAGTCTCATTTGAACACATACAGCTCGGACGTGTTAACGCTACATATGCATATGACCTTCAAGAGAAAAATCACACCTTCCCCACAGAGCCCGCTACATAAACAACCTTCTCGCCCCTCGCTTCCCTAGCAGTCCATGAGCTCCATCCGAGCGTCTCAGCAACAGGTCTCCACGCTTACAGACTGAAGCTGCCGTTTAGGACAGAATGAGTTGCTAAGGACGTATCACTCTATTGCTTTTAATGTCCAAAGCTCTGGGTCGGGGGAGGAAAAGAGAAATTGCTTCTAAATCCCCAGTCATCCTGGCCACCTGAGTCAAACACAGCCCTCTAGCTTTTGGGGTAACCTGGTCGCTGAGTGGCCCTTTCACTGTAACACGAAGCAGCGTCCAGCTTTCCGATACTCCATCAGTAAACCTGCAAAACTTCAACCTTTACTTCCTGGTGGAATGCCAAAAGCTCGGCCGCAGCTCCAGACCAGTACAATGCCCAGAGGACCAGCTCTCATTGCAAAGCACAGGCTGCCACCTACTGGCCATGAGCCTTCCAGCACCACACACCCACGGTTTCAGAACAGGAAGAGCTTTCCCCGCATCTTGGTCAGCTTTCTATTACTGTGATAAAACACTGTGGCCAAAAGTAACTTGGAGAGGAAAGGGTTTATTTCACATTACATTTTAAAGCCCTTCATGAAGGAAAGTCTGGGAAGGAGTTCAAGGCAGGAATCTGGATGCACGAACTCAAGCAGAGACCACAGAGGAAAGCTGATTAGTAGCCTGCTTTCATACACTTGCCCGGGGTGGCATCGCCCACAGTGGCCTTCACCCTCCCACATGGATCATTAATCAAGAAAATGGCCCACAGGTGTGTCCACAGGCCAATCTGACGAGGGCATTTTTTCAACAGAGGTTGTCTCTTCTCAGATAAATCTAGCTTGGGTCAAGGTGATAAAAAATGAACACAGTCAGCTCATTATTCAACACAGTGTCTTCAACTATATTATTATAATTTTTAAGTCACTCTAAATTATTTGTGTCTTTATAAAATAAAGCCAAATGGACTTTTTCGGTGCCATGCATCAAGTATAAATATTTCTGTAAATACAAGGAAAACTATTTTCATAGATATACATTCTAAACGACTCTGTTAGTGACCTTTCTCCTTGCCATGACAAAACACCTGACAAATGCCACCTAAAGGAGGAGGAGCCCTTCCCTTCGTTTGGACTGAGTTTGAGGAGTCACAGCCATTATGGGAAGGATGTCACGGCGGCAGGAACATGAGGCAATTAGTCACATGGCATCTAGTCAGGAAGCAGGGTAATGAATCTAGATCTCAGTTTTCTTTCTCCTTTCTCGTCTTTTATTCAGTCTGAGACTTTCAGCCCATGGAATGGTACCATACATCCACATGCAATGTGGGTCTTCCTGCCTCAGTTAAATGAGAAGGGAAAAGCCCTCATGGGTGTGCCCAGAATTCTTGTCTCCTAGGTGATCCTAAATCCACTCAAGTTGACACTAAAGATAAGTCACCATACTGTGGGACTTTAACATGAACATTCGGGGTAGAACAGTGATGCCGTGGCTCTCAAGCTCAGGAAAGAGGTTAGAAAGAGAGAGATTAGAGGCAGACATTCGGAAGCAGCTAGTTTGTCAACAGCAGCGAATATGGATGAAACGCCCCAGAGAGAATGGATGCAGTAAAGAGTCACACATGTGATCTTGTGGGAAGAGCCAGAAAACTCTCTCCAGCTCAAATACATCACACTGAGTCAGACAAGAAGGGACTGCCCTCAGAGCATGCTGCTGCACCCCACAGAGAGTACATCAAGTTTAAGAAAGCAAAATTCTGTACCTTAAGTATTAATATATACAGACCTATTCAAATATGCCCCAGAAGCACAACTATTCAGATGCCCCCATGAGTATCTCCGGAAACACCTGAGCACTGTTTCCTCTCTCCTTTACGCTTCCCTACTTCCTAAAATAGTCTACAATGCATACACCTTTCTCCAAACTCAAATGTATGAAAGTTTTCTTTGATTTTTTTTCTAATGATCTACAAGTTTCTAGGAGTCTACAGTATGGAAGACAGCCTTTTGACCAATTTTTTCTGTCTCTCAACAGCTCACAGAACACAAAGTCAGGAGGAAGGAGAGGACTGGAGACCTGTCATCACTGGGAGAAAAAGGAACACACTGAACGTCCTCAGTACACCACATGGACCATGACACCACGTACCTCAGAGATGGAGCAATAGATACACAACTGTAGTTGGGGGTTTTGTTTTGTTTTGGTTTGTTTTTTTTGTTTTGTACAGAGACCTATTCTTACTTATGAATGTCTGGTCGTAGCTTGGCTTGTTGCTAGCCAGCTTTTGTAACTTATAAAACTTATAACTTTAAACTTAAAACTTATATATAACTTATCCTGCTTCTCTTTAACTATATTTTGCTTCAGGCTTTTCACCTATCTTTATTCTATATATCTTTCTTTCCTTCTTACTCCGTGGCTGGCTGTGTGGCTGGGAGGCCGGCCCCTGGCGTCCTCCTCTCTTTCTCCTTTTCTCACTCCTCCCCTTTCCTAGAGCCTAGATTTCTCCTCCTATTTATTCTCTCTGCCTGCCAGTCCCTCCTGTCCCTCTCCTGTTGAGCTATTGGCCATTCAGCTCTTTATTAGACCAATTAGCTGTTTCAGACAGGCAAGGTACCACAGTTTTACAGAGCTAAACAAATGCAACACATCTTTACATCACGAAACAAATATTCTACAGCGTAAACGAATATAACACATCTTAAACTAAAATTCCACACACAATAATTGTGTTAAAACTTTTAAGGGCCCTTGCTATTCAGCCTGAACAGACCTGAGCACTCCAGGGCAGAGGAGTCTAAGAATATGAACACTACCAACTGCTCCTCGGCCTAAATGTACCTGCTCTGCTTGCTCTGAGACTAGGTAAGAGTGAAAGGAAATAAACACAAGGCACCACAAAGGAGCCATTAGCAATAAGGGTAGAAGCACCTTCCTTAGCTAGTCATGGGGGTGAGCACTGCTAAACCAACCGAGGCCCATTCTGATGGTTCCACCTCTGAGTGCAAAGACAATGAAGCAGCAGATAGAAAGGAAGGCAGCTGAGAATGAACAGAGTGAGGAGGCTACGGGGGCAGCGATGGCTTTCAACGCCAACTTGGCCAGGCTACAATGCTATTAGTTTAGGCAAACACAGGTCCAGACCCTGTTGCGGAGCTATCTATTAGATATGAATAACTTTAAAGTTAGTGGCTCCAAGTAAAGAAGGCAATACTTCACAGCATGAAGTGAGTGGGCTCTCCCTGGTCACCCCAAGGTTTTAAGTCTGAGCTTCACAGCATGGAATGGGCTCTCCTTGGTCATCCCAAGGGTTTTAAGTCCAAGGTTTCCCAAACAAAACTGAATTTGGCTCCAAGATTGAACCACAGGAATCCTGCCAAGTGTCCCTAGAGACTGGCGAGCGCCCCCCTCTCCACAACCATGTGAACCAATATTGTAAGAAAGGCTAATAAATTTCCACCACCACCACCAACAGCAACAAAAATATACACTCTGACTACCACAGACAAATGGGCAGAGCCTTGAATTAAGGACAACAGAGCTGAGCTTGGCTACGGTGTGTGCCAAGAGGAAGCCTACCGCTCCTGGAGAGATGAATGATCTGACAGCTCACGTCATGAAATGTTCTGGGGTTTTGCAACCTACGACTTATGCAAGATAAACTACGTTAGAAGATTCTAGTGAGAACAGATTTGGAGAAATCCAGGCCAGAGAACTCTGCAGGATGTCCTCAAAATAAAAGGAACCCAACCAAACAATAATATAGCAATGGTACAGACATGTTTTATGTTTTCCAGATCTTTGAGTAAATATTCTGTTGAACGCTCTTTATACAGCTAATAACTTACCATATTTATCTCGTAAGCCAACAGTGCATCGGAAGACTCCACCAAAGGCAACATCTTCACCAAATATTACTGGAAAATGATATTCAGAGACTATATTTAGTAATCCCTAAATTTAAAGTCATGGCAAATAAGGAACTTAAATATTTAGATTTGAAATTATACATATACTCACATCTGTGTAATAAAAATGTGATATATATGTATATATAATATCCTTGTTTGCATAATTCATGCATGCACAAATAAGTATATACACATAATCCTGTGTATTTGTAATGCATACATGTGTATACACACATACAAACATATGTATAAGTAAGAATATATATATAAAGTCAATCAAACTTTAAAAATGCAGCAAGATAAAGACTAAGTTGCTGGGATAGAGAAATAGCTCAGCAGATAAGAGTGTACACTGAACCTGCATAAGAACCAAGCTTGGTTCCCAGCACCCACATAAGGCAGCTAGCAACTGCCTACAACTCCAGCTCCTGGGAGATCCGACACCTCTGGCGCCTCTATCCTTCCTGGGCGCTAGCGCTCAAATGTGCATACCCACACACAGACACACACACAGAACTAAAAATAAAACTACAAAATAAATAAACATGAGTTACCTATAAAATTTTGTTTAGAACATATGACACACTACACAAACACAATCAAATTTTACTCAGCCACAGGGCAAAAATAAAATCATGACATTGACAGGAAAATAGGCAGAACCTTAAATCGTTATACTGAGTAAAATAAACCAGACTCGGAAAGACAAACACCCTGCTGTCGCTCATATACAGAATCTAGATTTAAGTGTATGTGTGCATGGCTGCACATCTCTGTGCGTGCATGTGTATGCATGCGTGTGAATCTGTGTGTGTGTGTGTAACAGAAAGTTTATCATGAGAGAATTGAAACAGATCTTAAGGGAGGGGAGAAGAGGAGAGAGAGAGAGAGAGAGAGAGAGAGAGAGAGAGAGAGAGCTGACATTTAACTTGAAAGCAGGACGGGGGACTACCTAAGGGTAGGAAAGCAAGAGAAGGGAAGTGCTTGTGGGGAAGGAAACAAAACAGAACAAAGCAGGACACCTGTGGATGAAGCAGCTATAGTAAATCCCACTGCTTTGTATGGTAACTTAAAAACTGATTTTAAAAAACAGAAATACTAAAATGATTTCTTCCAAAACTGATTAACACATTCAATGTAAAAGTAATCATAAACGTGCATATATATTGTACATATTTATATAATATATGACATATTTATATTATATTTTTATATTTAAATATTATATATTTATATTATATACAAATATCTAAACAAAGTGGCATTTTTTGGTTTTTTTCCTACACACAGGAGTAGCCAACAGGTATCAGTCAGAAACCAACATATAATAACAGGGCCACACACGCTGCAAAGAGCCAGCTAACAAGGATACACGGGAGGACGTGTCAGAAACTAGTGGAGAAATGTATGTTCAGACTCTAAGTAGATCCTTTTAATAATTTGCTCGGGTCTCAGAATCTGGAAGGAACAAAACTGCATCCATGCACTAAGTTTACCTGCAGTGGGGTCTTTGGCCAATGAATTATCCAAGGCACTTGTTATTGACTGGAAGAGGTTCATTTTCTGAGTTTGTCCTGTGAAAAGTAAAGTTACATTATATCAAAAATTGTAAAATATGTAAAAAAAAATAACCAGTTTCTTAACAGTTGATTATAACACAGCCAAAAAAAAAAAAAGCAAGATGCAAATAAGTAACAGAATCTATCACAGGATTTGACCAGGTTATTTGCAGGGAAGACAGATCCATTAAAGATACAAGTGAAGTAAGCATCCAGAGACATGGGGGAGGTAAACCCTATGTACATGGGGGAGGTAAACCCTATGTACACTAAACAATGCATATAAAAAGCAAACAAATGGAGAGAAACAACCAATGGTGACACAGATAAAAGCTTGTAGGCTGTAAACATTTGTAGATTTGTAATTGTAAAAATTGTAGATAAAAGCTACAAATTTCGGTAGAAAAGAATCGAGTGGGAGCCAGAGAGTACTGAGGACACCAGACAAGTGTTATGAACTACGGGCATAACGAATGTTAGGACTGCCTACAGCAGCCAATGCACAAAGCCCGTGAAACAAAAGGCCAAATTGTTGCGCTTGGAGAATACTAAAATCTCTTCCCTGAACTTATCAAACTGAGGCCTTCCTATTGTCTTATTGCTTAAATATAATTCCTGTAGACTAATGCCCGTTTCCATAAATAGACTTTGGGAGGGGGCCACAAGACGTAATACAGGGAAGGAACTTAGATAGCGCCTCACGAACCAACAGCACATTGGAAGGTTCCACCGAAGGCAATGCTGAAAAGCGATGTTCACAGCATATATTTGGTAATCTCCAACTGTGGGTTGAAAGCTAACTGCTACGGATGGTTAGCTCCAGCACGGCTCACGGCGCTCTTGAGCGATACTGTAAAGCTTTCGCTGGGAGAATTCCTGATGCTGAAAATTAGGAATAAGCATGGCTTTGGCGCTCTGAGCAAACCAAATGCTGGTCAAGCACCACAGTTAGTGGAACTCTAGGCCACTCCTCTCCAGCAGCATCCAGAGCACAGGCAGACTTCCCATGAGCCTCCTGGTGAGCAGACCGGTCTTAACCTTAGCACATTATCTACAGCCAATTGCTGTCCTACTCTGGCCTTCCCTTCCCTCCACCTCCCCAAATCCATGCCCGTTCAGTCACCAAATGTGGGGCAGTCAGGGTCTAATGACCAGCATGGGTAATAACAGCTCCTGTTGGGTGGCTTCAACCCTCTGCCTGTGAAGTGCAGTCGCTAGTGCTTTCCTCTCTGCCCAGTCAGACTCCTCAGTGAGCTCTGGCCTCCCCCAGTTCTCTCTCAGCCTGGCCTCTGGCATGCTCACGCTTGACCTCGGGTATCTCTCTGATCACTTCAACAGTGCTGCATGCCCAAACTTCAGGCCTTGGCAGTCCCCTGTCAGAACACCTTGCCTCCCTCTGCATCCAGAATAATGGCCTGTTTATACTCCTGTCTCTGAAGACGGTAGCCACCCGAATCTGCGCCACCCTCCTCCCTGTACGGTTTGCGTGCCTCCGTACCTACCACAAGCTTGGGCGATGGCCTGGGGATTGAACAAAAGACACACACAAAGAGACCTGGGTCATTCGACAAGAGATCACCGAATGCCAATTTATTTAGCTTTCTGCGAGGTTAATATACCTTTGCCCCAGTAAAGGAGATACTCTTCCAGCCAGACGGGGAAGTGTGTGGGAAATTCCTCCCAGGCTGGGGGTTGGAAGCAGAGAGACAATGGAGAGGGGACCTGGCGAGGGAACTCTCCTGGGCAGGTGGGAAATTACCATTCCAAAGGTAAAACAAAGCCTACAGCTAAATCACCAGGCTAAAAGCAGAAGGAGCACAGAAATTAGGAGGAAGCTTTAGCTGGCTAGCCAAAACAGTCCTTGTGATTTGCACCTCAAGGAGCAGGGGGAAAACCCGGGGCCCTACAGAAGACAATAAAAATTCATTCAGAAAGTATCATTACATCACCCACATCAAAGAACACACAAGCATACCAATGTCCAGAACCACTTCATCAAGTATTTTTCCTCAGACTGCAGTTGTATCATTGACTAGTTACCGTGCTCAAAACTTTCTCTGCCCTGTTGCTCTAGTTTCCTTTACTGTTGCTGTGATAAACACCAGGACCAATAGCAATTTAGGGAGGAAAATGTTTACTTAATCTTACAGGTTATATAGTCTACCACTGAGGAAAGTCAGGCTAGGGACTCAAGCTGAGGCAGGAAGCACAGAGGAAAACGGCTTCCTGGCTTGCTCTGTGGTATCCTTATACAAGCCAGGACAACCAGCTCAGTCTTCCACAGCAATTAACAATCAACCAAATCCCCACGGGCCAACCTGATTGAGGCAATGCCCCTAGGCTTGGTCAAGGTGACAGCTGACATTGACCAGAAGACCTCAAAGTTTTCCAGTGGCACAAAACATCAGATAACAGTTTAGGGTAAAAATTTTTTCCCTAGTGACAATAACATATCCATTTCACACATGTAAGAACATACCTACTTCATAAATGTCACAAAGTAATACTTTGCTTATTTCTTAGGATTTTCATAGTTAAAAACGTAGGGAGAATAAAAACACCTTAACAGCTAGTATTATTTTTGTTTTAAATTTTGCTGACCATTTGAATTAATAGCAAATGCCCCCACTAGATATCCAACCCATATGTTAGCCAAGTGCTCCACCTTCCAGCTCCTCCCCCAAACCTCTTGATTCATCTTATCACATAGCTACTCAGTAAGTTGTTACTAGAAAAACAGTAAAAACATCAATAAAAATCACACAAAACTGAGGCTGGAGGATTGTGGGTTCAAAGCCACATGCTCTAGGCTATATAATAAGCTCCTATCTCAAAATAACCAAAAATAACAACAAAAATTACAGAAAGTAAATCTAGAATGTATTCTTGACTCTAAAAATCTTGCTTCGCCTTATGGGAATAATTTCAAGTCATTTATGTTTCAGTGTCAGCACACAAATTACATTTTCACTAGTAGATATTTTTGCCAAAGACTATAAAGTTTAGGTTTGGAGTATGCCTCAGTGTTATTTCAAGCTACAAAAGACAAATTTGATATGCCAACATCCACTTTCAATTCTTCTTAAAGCTGATGCGTAGGTGGTATGGAAGAAACCATACTATTCACAGGTACAACATTGTTTTATAATCTCACAGTGTAGCGGGCCTTGAACTTAAGATCACCCTGCCTCAGCCTCCAGATACTCTGGTTCTTCCAGCTTTGCCCTCTATTTGCCAGCTATACATCTGTAAATCCGTATCCTTCTGGAACTCCTATTAAAACACATCCCAAATATCTCCCCACACATTAAAATTGAGAACCCAAAACTAGACACAGACAGACACACACACATATATATATACACACACACAGGGTTTTTACTAAAATGTAAATGAAAGGGCTTGGATACAGCTCAATGAAAGAAAACCTTCCCAGCAAACATGCTTGGCTTCAATCACCAGCACCAAAAACTAACATGAACAAGATGTTAAGACTATAAATCCAACTGTGTGGCTCTGTGCCTGAGTGGTGTCTATGAAAGCCAGAGGTCAACATCTGGTATCTTCCTTCATTGCTTTCTCACCTGTTTATTTATTTTAATTTATTTGTTGACAGTATGTAGCCCTGGCTAATCTAGAATTCACTACATAGACCAGCTCGCCTCAGACTCACAGAGATCCACCTTATTGTGCCTCTGAGTGCCAGGATTAAAGGCATGAGCCACCACACCCAAGTCTGCCTTAATTTTTAGAGTCCTTCATTGAACTAGAAGCTTACCAATTAGCTAAACTGATAGCCTTAGGATCCTCCTGTCTCAGTCATGCTTCTTACTCTGACTTTACTCATGATATTTCTACTCCTACAATACTGGGGGGTGGAGGGAATAACCACATCCCTACAAACAAAAGGCCTTGGTTTACCCTGATCATCATGAGACCTGCACACCCTACTGTCCGAAGTATGGGATATTTGTACGCTGTGTAAAGAAGTGTTGCTGGGATTGGCATAATAAGAAGCTGAACAACCAATAGCTAGGCAATAGCGTATAAGTGGAACTTTCCTACAGTGAGAGAACTCTGGGGGATAAAGGAAGGTGGACCCACCAGCCAGACACGGAGGAAGCAGGATGGATAGTACCAAGATGAGGTAACAAACCATGTGGAAGACCACAGGATAAAAAATGTGGGTTAATTTAACTTATAAGAACCATTTAGGAACAAGCCTAAACTGAGGCTGAACTTTCATAATTAATAATAAGCCTCCATGTAGCTATTTGTGACCTGGAGGCCCAAAGGAAAATATGAATACATATGGCGCCCAACACCTGGCCACATACATCCACATAAGGCCTGAGAAAGGTAAAAAACACAAATGATCCTAACAAGCGGCTTCCTGGCACAGCTTCCTGGCAAACATGCTCTTGGGTAGACTCAACCACAGAACTGTGGCTTTTCTAAGAAGCCCTACTGTGCAGATGGACACTTGAGCAGCCAGCACTAGATACAAACACCTGCTACAAGCAGACACAAACATTCCCAGAGCTGGGGCAGGTAAAAGCAGCTCAGGGGTCAGTATCCACAATCATAAGGCTAAACTCTCAGAGAACCAAGGGGGTTAGAACCAGCCATCAGAATGTCATGTGCTAGGCAGAGGTTTGATGTAGCCTAGCAGTGAATTCAATGCATGAGCTAGCTTTTTGGAATGCATTCCCCATGTTGGGATGCCTCACCCAGTCTTGATGCAGGAGGAGGAGCTTAGTCCTGCCCCAACTTGATATGCCACGCTTTTTTGACTCCCATGGGAGGTTTGCCCCTTTCTGAACAGAGGAGGAGTGGATGGAGGGTACACAGGAGGTAGAGGGGCAGAACGGGAAGAGAGGAGGGAGGAAAAACTGTGGTTGGTATGTAAAATAAATGAAAAAATGTAATAAAAAAGAAAAAAACAAAACCTCTAAACAGATATATGCTGTATGAAGGCCACTTGTTTGTTCCCAGCTGCCCAGAACTGAAATAACCACACAGAAACTGTATTAATTAAATCACTGCTTGGCCTATCACTATAGCATATTCCTAGCAAGCTCTTACAAATTAAACTAATCCATTTCTATTATTTTATATTTTACCACGAGACTCATGGCCTACCAGCAAGGTTCAGGCTGGCAGCTGGTGTCTTTCCCCTCTGGTGGCTCCATGGTGTCTCTGCAGCTCCACCTTCTTTCTCCCAGCATTCAGTTTAGTTTTCCCCACCTACCTTTATTCTGCCCTGCCAGGCCCAAGACAGATTCTCTATTAATCAATGGTATTCACAGCATACAGAAGGGAATACCACATCAAATATTATGCTTAGAAATGTGCTGACATGCTGAAGAAAGAAAAAAAAATGGGTATAGAAAAAAATAAATGTTTAAAAATAATAAAGTCTTTAAAGAAAGAGTAAATCAATATTTAAAAAGACACATAAAATGGGAAATACATAGAGTCTCTGGATCCAGAATGGTGCTATGAATTTTTTCAATGCTAATGAACAAAAAAATAGTTGCTGAGAGGCATTGGATTACAGACATGCCAATTTAAAGAAACCTATAGATTTTAAGAGTGTCTTAACTTCAGAATGAATATGTTGCATTGGAGGAGAGATTTTCTTTTTGTTTCCACAGAAAACAAAAAGATATGGATTTCTTCAAAATTAATAAAGACCAGATTTGATTGGGGAAGAGCTGAAAATCGTAGCTACAGACATGAAGAAAAAGACAAAACAAGAACGACTAGAAGACAGGTGATGTGTGACCTGGTCTCTCTCCATGGAACAGCTCTGAGACTGGAGGAGACATGATAAATCTTATTGGCTACAGAGTCCTCATGACATTATTACATGCCAGCCTTTCCTACGGCATGGGAAGAGGTTTGGTTATACAGTCCAAACAGATTTGTAAGACTAACAGATGCCTTTTATCAGCTCAAACAAAGAACAAAAAATCTTTAGCTGACATGTGCACACTGCACAGTCCATACTGTGTTAATGCAGATGTGTATGTTACCTTTAAACGTTTGTGCGTTTTCACAACAAAACAACCAGACACCAATGAGGACAAGTAGCCCAAGTGACCCAGCCTTTCGGAATTCCTCTGTTACTGTTTCCATAAAAATCTACATCCAAAGTATCTTCAAAGCTGCTAGCTGAGAGGTTTCAGCCTCGCAGGTAGGTAGATCCAAGATGGATGCCCCAATGTGGCAGAGGAGCACTGGGTAACTGTCCAAGCAGTCAGATGTCCCTGTGATTTCTATAATTTTAGAAGTTGTTTGCTCTGTACTTCCTGCTTACTAAAGTAATATTTTATCCTTCTTTGATCTGGTTAAAGACTAGATCATTATAGTTACAGTTTTCCTTGTTAACAAATTCAGAAAAAAAACTTACATACGAGATATAAAGTTTCTAAGTTTGAAAACGTAAAAATTTTAAGTTGTTAATCTAAGAAGATATTTTAAGGTCTAAAAAGATATTTTTAGGATGATAATACAAGTTATGATAAAAAATGGTTTAGGTATAAAATTCTGGACTCACCAAAATGGGATAGATAATAAAGTATTTTTTTCCAAGTATATGCCAAATACAAATGGATTGAACACTGTAAATGTAATTCTTACCTGATAATTCTTATTGCATACAGATTTACTATGTTAGAGTTAAAGCCTTTCCTTTTTATTTAGACAAAAAGGGGGAAATGTGGTGGGATATTTGTACACTGTATGAAGATGTGTTGCTCTGATTGGTGTAATAAAAAACTGAACAGCCAATAGCTAGACAGGAAAGTATAGAAGGGACTTCTGGGAAGACAGAGCACTTTGGGAAGAAGAAAGGGAGAGCCGCCAGACAGCAGAAGAAGTAGGATAAGTAGTATAGAGCCATGTGGGGAATATAGATTTTAAAATATGGGTTAATTTAAGTTATAAGAACTAGTTAGGAACAAACCTAACCTAAGGCTGAGCTTTCATAATTAATAAGAAATCTCCATGTTATTTGTGAGCTGGTGGCCCAAAGGAAAATCCAACTACAGTTTTCTCTGTTGATACAACACAGAATGACCATACTCAGGGCCTTAAACCTATTCAGTCTTGTTTCTACCTAAAAATAATGTTCCAGTGGCCTTTGCAGAGATAAGCCCTTGTCCCAGTTTACTATGTAGCTTAAAAGTCACCTCCTTGAAGTTGACCATGGCCACCAACTAAAACAGTCCCTTTTCCATGTGAAATCAATATTGCTGAATGAAAAGCATGTGCTGCACATGTGAAGGGCAGACAATTGGTATCTTCATTAACAGCCATAATATGCAAAGTTTTAGCACTACTCGTGAGGCCTTCGAGGAAGACACAATGGGGTCGGAAAGTTGACTCTGCTCTTGACCACACTCTGGAAGGCCACAAACATCTCTGAACCTCGATGTCCAATGAACATAACACCATCTATCTCACACGACTATTGAGACGGTAACAGCCCACCACACCTGGATAGAAGCAATTACTCAATAATGGAGGGTAGCGTCAGCACTGACAGGAGAAAAGACATCGGGCACAACTTTTAAAATAGAAAAAAAAAGAAAAAAGGAAGAGCATGAACTAGTGAGCAAATATATGGGAAAAGATTCCTCAGCAGAAGTGAAACACATGCCAACACAAGGTGCCGTGGTTAGCACAAAAGCGCAAGGAACCACCTGTTCCTGGGACTCCCAGCATCAAGCCTAACACAGTCTTACATCCTCCCCTCTTACACTTCATACAACAAACACTCTTATACAGACTGAGCAGAAACCAGGCATTTAAAGTGAACATTTAAAAACTCCACTAAACCATTCACATTTTGAGTGAGAACTGGAATCTCAGGGGCTCTGTCATGGGGGGGGGGGGGGGATCATGCTCAGGGAATGTATCTTTATGCATATTTTGTAACATTGTGAAACCACCACAAGTGCATGATGGTAAACTTGCCTGTTACTGACTCCCAAGTTGTCACATGCTGAGTTAAATATATTAGTGACATTCTTACTCAGCCCTTAGCTCCCCTTGTTATGAAGTAGCTATTATCATTAATCCCTTAATTACAGAAACATTGAGGCCTGTACAAGTGATGACTTCAAAGTCTCAGGTGATGGGAGACAGACAAAATTCAAGACACCGAGTCTCACTACCGAATTCTGCAGGTTATCAACACTCTACAGCATTACAGGAACCTTGCTTCAGTTAATGCAAATTGGACTTGTGTTAAAACTACAACTACGGAAAACACAGTGAGCTGGAAGAATGAACCTCAAAAGGCTTAGCAGCATTTACAATGAGTGGTACCAAACACATTTTTGCTTTCTCTAAATTATGCCTTTTGTCTGTAATATGCTTGTAGCATTTTTATAGTAACAACTTAGAGACATGACCTCACTCGGATTTTAGTAATTTCACAATTGTGGAAGGGTGAATTAATAAGACCTGTGCTCTATTTCTCTATTACTAGGCCAAAGTTCTTTGCTGTGAAGACAGTATTGAAGGCTGGGAGGGAAAAATGCACTGCTATTCATCATTCTAATCTACTATTTCACAAAACTGGGAAGAAGAATCAGTAAATCATTTCCAAATGCCTTTCATTGCCTTATGTAGAGTGGCAGTTCTGAAATCCAGCTTCCTCGATACACAACTTTGGAGCGACCTGCCATGAACTTCTATCTTGTGCACTCTTGAATAATCTGTTTGAAGGCTTCGGCTTATCTGACCGCAAAGCAAAAATTAAGACATGGCATATCACATTAAATTAAAACTTGTCCTATGAACCATAGGAGACAGGGAATGTAAATTTCGCCAATAGCAAGCTCTCAATAATTACTGTTCACAAATAACACAGGCTTTCAAATATACCAGCCCCAGCGGGGAAGAAGTTATTGGACAAGAAAACAGGACAGGTGTCCTTACTCTGCAAAGAGACCTGGGATCTTAGGCAAGGACACAAAACTTGCAGGAGAAATAGTCTGAGTGTAACAGAGTAGCACATAAAAAGCCCGACCCCTCCCCTTCCCCTTGCTCTTTCCCATCACCTGTGTGGATTACCTCTGCTCCGCCAAGTGACAGCAGAGTCCAGCAGAAGTCTGGATTCTTTCCACCTCTAGGCAGAACCTGTTTCGTGACCTTGAGAAAATTAAATTCTACTATTGACTCCCTAGGTTTACTCTTCCCTTCCAAGGGGGAGGGGAGGAAAAAGAAAAAGAAAAGTCTTTTACGGGCTGCTGCCTCAAGTTACTGACCCAGTCCTGGTAAGGTAATCCTAAAGGGCCTGATAAGGAAAAGCAGGGGTGGAGCTCAGAGAAAAGAGGGACGCTCTTTGGACAATTCTAAACCCTCAGGGCCTCGCAGAAGGCAGGGTGCCCTCTCACCTATCTTGTAGTTGCCTAGGGGTTGCATCTGAAGGGAAGAGTCACCAAGAAAGAGCAGCAAGATCGAAAGCGGACCCGAGGCGAGGATGGACTCGGGATGCAGGAAGATCGCCCGGTCTCACCATACTGCAGGGACTCCGGGTCCGGCTGAAAAGTGAAGTGGGCCACCCGCCGCTTCTGGGTCGCGTCCTCGCCCCCGGGTTGCAGGAAGTCTTGCACCAGTCCAGAGCAGCGCAGTCCGCACCACCTCCGCTCCGCTCCAGGAGCTCGGAGCCGCAGAAGCCCGCACGCCCGCGAAGCCACCGCCGCCATCCCCGGGTCTCAGGCACAGCAGCCCACGCTGCCGGCAGGGAGGACGGAGAGGCGTCGCGGGCCTCCTCATTGGGCGGTTCCGAGGGGCGGGTCCGTGAAAGAAACCAATCGGAGATGGAAGTTCGGGGGCGGGGATGGAGACGCTGTGACCTGGCAGCCTGAGCAGACGGAAGCGGGACCTAAGGCCCTGCAGCTTGAGATGCGGTCCCTGGATGTGGAGCCACCCACACCGAGACTGGCTGTGTCCTTATCCACTATCATTTTTACAGTGTCATTTCCAGTAGCTTTTGCTTATTTGGCTTTTCGAGACAGGGTTTCTCTGTAGCTTTGGAGCCCGTGCTGGAATTAACTCGTGTAGATCAGGCTGGCCTCAAACTCACAGAGATCCACCTGCCTTTGCCTCCGGGGTGCTGGGATTAAAGACGTGCACCACCACCCCCTGGCCAGTATATATAGATTTTTAATTGATTTTGTTTTTCCTTATTTAGATAATAGCAAATAAATAAATAAATATAGAAATTTCTAACTTCAAATCCACTAGGAATTCTTGTCCGGGTACATACAGTAAGGCCTAATGGTCTTACTCTATGTAAGTTTGAAACGTGCAAAGTTGTTGAATAACTAATTTAGACAAAATAATCAGCTTTATAAATTTTAATTTAAAATGTTTAAGTGTTTAAAAGTATATATCCTCCTTGGTCATGAGTTGGCAGATAGCCATAAAAATCAAACACAACACGGACAAACAAGAAGGTGTTTCAGCCGCAGAATGGTTCCAGAATGGAGTTAGATTCTGGTGACGAGACTGAGAAGGAAATGAGGAGGAAGGAGCCATAAAGGATCATTCCTTTCGTAGTATTTGGGACCTCTAAACAGATCTTTTGTTTGACTAAGAAACATGGGACAGAGTAGAAAAGGATCTTAATGTTCAAAATGGTACACAAAGGAGTCAGCTTAGACAATAACACGCATGCTTGCAGAGGTAAGACCAGATGGACCCAGAGGACCAGAGGTCACCAGATGGGTACAGAGAAGGACAAGCATCCAAAGCAGGTGTGATGGGCTCAAAGGCTCATAGGCTTGAAAGAAAGAAAGGTCTTCCAGGGAGAGAAAAGAAAAGTCAACTAAGCAGTGCTCATAGGGGCTCACAGAGACCAAGGCAACAATCATGGAGCCTGCATGGGTCTGGCCTGATCCTCTGCACATACAATATGGTTGTGTATGGCATTCATGTGGGACTCCTAACAGTGAGGGTGGGACTCTGACTCTTTTACCTGCTCTTGGAATCCTTTTTCTCCTTCTGGGTTGCCAAGTTCAGCCTTGACATGAGTATATATGCCTATTATAATTGTAACTTGTTAGGCCAAGTTCAACTGATATCCCTGAGAGGCCTTCTCTTTTTTTGAAAGAAAATGGAGGAAGAGTACAGTAGAAGGAAGGTTGGGGGAGGGGACTGGGAAGAGTAGAGGGAGGGACACTGTGGTCAGGACGCAATGTATGAGAGAAAAAATAATTTTTTTAATAAGAGACCCTTTAAGTCACATTAACAAAAGGGGAAACAGAAGAAAAAAGAAGAGGAGGAGGA